TACCTGAGTTGAAAAGAATTACAGATATTATTTGGGAAAATAATGAAGATATAAAGCATATGATGTATACAGAGCATATCGGAAGTTGTGACCAAAGCAAAGGGTAGAAATACAAGATATTAACATGTGTTAATAATGTTATGTACAGTAGTAGTGTATCACAGTAGCTAATAAATTATACAATTACAATTTGAACAGGTCTTAATTTTACGGAAAACGTGTAAAATGCTGAAAATTTGTAGTGGTAATTCGATGACCAGGAACTAGTCCCTGTATAATAGTTTACTGTAATATGTTAATTTCAAACAGTTTATAAACATAGGGCAATAAGCAATAATTGTTCCAATTACGATGAAATATGTTTTTACCTTGTCATAAGTGTCATCGGTGAAGTATGTTTTTACCTTGTCGTATGACCAGGGACTGCAGAGCTTTCAATGTAGTCGGTTCTATGTGTCAAAGATGAATGAAAACTATACCGAAAGATTTATAATCGATTCGACGATTGACATCGATGACAAGAGGTTACTGTCGTTAGATCACCGACAAAATCTACACAGTTCTATGGTGTCTCACGAGTCTATCAAACTTTCAAATCAAAAGACTCGAAATTACGACCTATAGCGTGATACAAACAAATACAGATCCAGTCTTCACAGGTGTCTCATTACGTTCAGCAAAAATAATTAAAAATTTGTACACACTATTAACATGAACAACGATAAACATCAGACCAGAACAACAGATAAATAGGTCATTAGTTCATTGTTTTCTGAATAAAGATAAGATCTTCCCGCCTCTTCACCTTGCAACTTTTTGAAGGACCTAAAGGTTTCTCGGACGAACATGTGTGTGGCCCACGAAATGGAGCATGAAGCATCATTCAGGGTCGTCTATTTCGAAGGATGACAACCATACGTGTAACAATGGTTGTGCTGATCAATAACAATGATTGGCTGGACTTCGTTGACCCCTTTAACTAGCTCACGTTTCCCAGCCTCGCCCAACTCTGTAAACCGACTTCTTCCTAACGAAAATACTCGTGTGTTTCGTGACTGTCCGATGACGTAAACGCCGCTGTTACCGTAATTAAACGAGAAAACGTGTATGAAAAACGATTAAAAGAGTAATATCCGTAATTATCTTTTTTTAAATTGCTTTCAGACGTGTGTTGACATGTTTCCTACCACGTATTTGGTTCTTGGAATGTGTGTTGTTTAGGACAAATTGTGTAGTTTTGTTATTGAGAGTTTTGGGTTTATATGTGGTGACATGGGAAAGAGGGTGGTGACAGGGAATTAGAGAAGTTAGGAATTTGGGAGTTTGTGGAATTGGGAATTTAAGGATTTGGGGAGTTGGTAATTCAAAAGTTTAGGAGTTTGGGGATTGGGGATTGGGTAATTCGGAAATTTAGGAAGTTGAAGGATGAGAGATTTGGAAATTTGAGAAATTGGGAATATGAGAATTTAGAAATTTGAAGATGGGGATATTTAGAAATTTATGAATTAAGAGATTTGAGGGATGAGAGATTTGGAAATTTGAGAAATTGGAAATATGAGAATTTAGAATCTTGAAGGTTTGGGAATTTAGGAAATTAGGAATTGTGGGATTTGAGGGATGAGAGATTTGGAAATTTGAGAAATTGGGAATATGAGAATTTAGAAACTTGAAGAATCGGGGATTTAGGAATTTAAAAATTTGGGAATTTGGTAGTTCCTAAATTTTTAAATTTAGGGATTGAGAGATTTGCAAATATAGGAATATGGAAATATGGTAATATGGTAATGTGAAAAAATGAAAATATGGAAATACAGAGTTACAGAAATTTAGAATTACAGAATGACAAAAATATAGATTCACAAAATTATGGAAATTGGAAATCCCATTACTCATTACTATCCCTTCATATTATTTTAAATTTTTTAATTTTTCACTCGTACAAACACTATTATCGAAGACCCAAAATTTCTTCATCTAAAACCAGCTTAGAGCTCCCAAATTCAATCGATATACCACATACGTTTCCTAAACCCCAATCAAATTTGACCCAGATTCCGTTGTTTGATTAATAATTAGACTTCTTAGATATTTCACTGCACTCATACATTTTCACTTACGTAAGAAACTGTGAAGTGTTTTAATGATTAATGTTGTCGCTGTATCATGAGTATTTTATTTAAATACGTCGCTTTTCTCACCAAAATTCATTTGATCTTATTGGGAGAGTAGCTCTTGAATATTTTACTAACAAAAAGGTGTGAAGAACGTCTCGAGTAGTTGGCAAGGGGCTTATGTTATTGTCAGGTGCAAGATACCAGGGACCTTCTCGAACGAAGGTGTGTAACAGAAGTACCTTGCCTAATCGATTATACTGTCCAATAAATTTTAAAGCGACCTTTGCACTCGTAGGTATTTTTGTTGTATTCAGGTTGCATCTCGAAAACCTTGTCATTGAAATGCTTCGTAAATACTTTTGGTGTAATAATCTTGTTTTATTGCGGAACGAAGCGAGTCGTCTGTGTTGCATTATTTTTTAAAGTTAAAAATTTGAAAATTTTACAGGCCTAATCTTCAAAACTGTAGAAATGAGGAAACTTCAAAATCTTAAAGGTTTGAAGTTCTAATTCCAAGAACAAAAAATTGCCAAATTCTAACGATTTAACGTTTTAAAATTCCAAAGTTCCAAAACTCCCAAATTCCAATATTTCAAGGTCTTAAAATTCCAAAGTTCCAAAGCTCCCAAATTCCAATATTTCAAGGTCTTAAAATTTCAAAGTTCCAAAGCTCCCAAATTCCAATAGTTCAAGATCTTAAAATTCCAAAGTTCCAAAACTCCCAAATTCCAATAGTTCAAGGTTTTCAAATTTTCCAATATTTCAATATTCCGTAGTTCCAAAACCCCCAAATTCTTAAAATTTAAAAATTTCTATGCTCCCAAATTCTAAAATCTCAAGGTACCTTTTCGCAAATTCCTAATCCCAACGAAATCCTCAGGTTTTAAAATTCTGAAATCTAGAAATAGGGAAGTAGCAAAATTGCAAGATACCAAAGTCTATAATTAAGAAAGTTCCAAAGTCCTAAATTCTAAATATGGAATAATTACAAAATCGTAAAGTCCCAAAAAGTCTAAATAAAAAAGTCGTATAGATTACAAATTACAATCCTGAAGACCTCTAATAAACAACTGGGACATCCTGTGTAGTTGCCAAACAACAGTAATAGTGAGGCCTCTAAAACTCCATCTGCATTTGTTCGTTTGTCTGTTTGATTGTCTACACGCTACAGGTCGCAGATTTGAGTTCTTTGACTTGAAATTTTGAGGGTAGATTCATAAAACATCCTAAATTTACCGTAAAGTTTTTGCCGGTGATCTGACGACAGAAACCTGTCGTCATCGACGCCGATCGTCGAATCGATAAAAAACCGTTTGGTATCGTTTTCGATAATTTTTCACACATAGAATCGACTGGAATCACGTTAGAAGCTCTATAACTCATCGTTGAGAATACTTGGTCATTGACGTCAGTCGTCTTGAAATCAACAATAATCGTGTTTGGTTTTCGATAGTTTCAGACACGTTTAATAATTTGGAACGACTTTAAAATCTATACATCTTATTCTTGCTCTACCTATATGATTGCAATAGGTACTCTATATTTGAAATACACATTCGAATTCGCGTGACGCACCTAGTCTGTAGATCAGTTTCTGCGAATAGAACATGTTAACCCTTTGATTGTAGAACACTTTCGCACGAAAGCATCAATACGTTCGATATGTACGCTGTCCCAGATTCTATCGTCAAATTTTACCGATATTTTCCATAGATGAAAATAAGAAAAATATGTGGTATTATTGTAAGGTTTTATTTATTTTATTAAAAAATTGCAACAAACGTGCAAAATGACAATGGACTGTTTTGTTTTCCGATCCCACATTGTGTGTCCCAGTTTTGTAGGTGAAACTTTACCAGCATATTCTATAAATAAAATTGATAAAAAATTGTTATATAAGTACAGAATACATGAAATGATAATGGTCGACTTCCTCCATTGATACTACATACGAATTGTCGATTATCACATATTTTTTAATAACTTCAATAATGCATTCAACAAGTATCGTTCACAAAAACATTTTTTCTCTCATTTTATTCGTAGAATATACTAATAACATTATTTTGTTTTTTTCGTTACAACTTTTTCATAAAGTGTTTGAAACCGTATATTGATATAACATATGTTTTCTATTGTTAGGAATATAATTTGTTAAGCCATCGGCTGCAAAGCACTTTCAAAACCATTCATATACGCTACAATATTCGCATGTCAATTGCACTTACATTTGTCGAAATGTTTGCGATTGTAAAATATTGAAACATTCGCCGATATTCAGCTATGTTACGTGGAACGATAAATTCTATGTTAAAACGATTTAATAGAACAGTACATATGTTATACTAAATAGGAGAAATTGACATCCGTATATGTATATACGCCTTTCATATGTGTTAATACACGTATGACGATGTACACATACGTATATGTGCCCTTCACAGTCAAAGAGTTAACTCTATTTACAATGTAATTATTTTATTTCAACCAGTTAAATGTGTTTGACGACTATATCCGTCATGGAGATGTGACAGAATTTTGTGTCATGACGACTATATCCGTCATGCATAAAATTTGGTTACAATTTGATATTTAAATTGTAATTTTGGCGAAAACTAAATTCTATTCGTAAATTGTAATATGTTTGAAATGTTTAGAGGTCAACATGAAATGAAATAAACAAATAAAAAGTATAAATGATTTGAGATGGATTCATAAATTCTTGAGAGCTAACTCGTCATCGCTTGATTATCGCGACACACTGGTGTGCGCTTTGCAAAAAGATCGCCACAGTTAACTGGTTAAAATAATGTACTTAAAATATAAGTATTGAATAAGGTAAGATAAAGTATCTATTATTAATTTTCTACTTTTTTATTGTTACAGGCCAAACAACGTGCCTCCGTAAAATGGCTCCTGTCGAAGGCGTACAACAACCGAGTGCCAGAAAACCTTCGTGAGCCATATTATGTTGATCACGAGGTATGTAATTATGCTATTTTACAATCCAGATATTAGAACCAAAGTTATAATTAGCAAATTAAAACGTGGCTAATTAGATTGAACTTCAACTTCTCCCATAATCATGAAATACTTTCGAAAATGATTTAAGAATTGTACGCAATTACAGGTGGTATTATTTCATACACTCATGAATTATTTACATTTCTTTTAGAGAAAAAAAAATTATTATTACAACGTATGTTACAATAATTCCATTGTTAAAATAAATGTACAATATATTAATAAATGAATTAATAAATTATTAATATTATTAAAATTAATACAATATTAATACACTTATAAATAATATAATTTGTAATACATTATATAAAGTATATTACAATAATAAATTTACAATAATAATATAATTGTTAAAATAAAATTTTGTTCCATATAAAAGCAAACAAACAATAAATTTTTATTTTCTGTGTGAAAGTAAATAATAATAAACTTAGCTTAAATTTGAAAGATTCGAAACTTTTTACTTAAAAAATTTATGAATTTAAAGACCTGTATATTTGAAAGGGCATAAATTTCTAAATTTTAGAATTCGTTAATTTGAAAATTTCTAGATTTTTTAATATTTAAGTTTGTAATTTGAAGAATTTCTAAATTTCTAGGTTATAGAATTTTTAATCGTATAAATTTGAAAATTTTAAGAATTTTAACATTTGTGTTCTTTGGCTTATTATCCAATTTTTCTTAAACATACAAAATTTCTTTTCATGGTATAAATTAGTTTAAATTCAGTACTACATGTACCAACTTCGTTTTTTTCAGTATTGTCAATTTTAACATTTTAGTTCTGCTAACTCAATATGTAGCTTTCATCACCATGATTTTTCTGAAAACAGCAAGAGGTACAAAATTACGTTTTGTGGCACAAATTGGTACAAAATAACTACTAAATATTCCACTACGTTCAATATGATTCTGCTGGTTTGGTCCTGCCAGCTTCAAGAGGTATAAAAAGAGCTTGTGGCAAATTGCTCAATACTGGCTGCACACTTTATCGTTTATTATTGTATTCTTCTTTTATTAAATAAAGCAGTTTGTACAGGTTATTCTCCACCGCAGGCGGCTCGTGATAAAATTGTCTCTTATCACGTTACGATGACAATGCCTCGCTTGATTCATTACGCATCAAATAGTGATGGGTTCGAACCGAATTTGTAAATTCTCGAAGTTTTCTAAAATTTAAAAACTCTCGGTACTCGAAACTGTTGAAACTTGAAACGATGTTTTTGTCACGTGCTAATGCACTTGTAGTTCAACTCTCATATTTTTAGTACCCTTGAATTCTTAGTTTAGATATAATTATAATTTGCATAGTCAAGGATCGCTAATTAGAAAACGGGTACCGCTATTTAGCTTTCTTCATCTGTTTTAATAATGTAAAAGTCAATAGTTTGTCACGTCTGACTTGTCGAATAAATCATAATGCAAGTGGTCAAGCGTTAATAGCGATGGGTTCCAACCGAACGTTCAAATTCTCGAAAGCCGAATCTAAAGCTTTCTAAAATTTCAATACTCTCGGAACTCGAAACCATCGAAACTTGAAACGGAGATTTTGTTTTGCAAGTGGAATATCTTATTTTAAGAATCGATGACAACATTTTTCAAGCTCACACGCACTCTGGTTCCGCTACGATCCAATGTCGAACTGCTTATATTCTCAAAAACAAAAACTAAACCAAACATTCGCATCATACACCGAATATTCAAATACTCGAGTCAAATATTCTCGAAGCACACTCAACGATTCTTTATTCGACGATTCTGTACGTTTTCTTATCCAGGTTTCGAAAGTTTTGAACCACGAAAAAAGCTCCGAACTCTCGAAACTCGAAACGTTCTTGTGTTTCGAGAGGGTTGATAGTATAACTCAGCCTTCAGAGGATATCGACCTTTTTATTTCCAACGAATTCCAACATTCCGCAGAAATAATTTTGTGCATTCGGTCTGAAAGAAAGAAAATGCAAATCCGTATCGACTGTTATGCGACCGCATAACTGCATCTTACGTTTCGCGTGCAACCTGTGCGTGAAAACCTCACTGGTTGTGGTTGATCCAGTTAAGCCAATCAAATTACCCCTCGATCCTCTGTATCCGACCTCTTTCCTGGTGCCAGTAAATCATGGAACCGCGGTAACGAATGTTCCTGTCGCCTTTTATTCCCATTCTGTCGGTTCGGGATGCGTTCAATCAACGGCAATTCCCGTTTTCCGTCTGTTTTTCGACCGAAATCGGATTCGGTGTATCGAGACGTACGGGATTCACCGGTCCAAATAAATTGCGCCAAGTGACACAATCGAACTTCTGACAATCTTGTCGGTTGAAAAACGAGCGAAATTCGAAAGTATGCATCGTGTTTTATGCGTCACGTGATTGTCAAGGTTTGTGATAATTTGACGGATTTTTTTGCGCTTATGATGTATCGAAGTCTGCAAAATGGACGACAATCGTGTAATGTGGGTCTAAATAATAAATTATGTCTGTGACTGTAAATAATAAATCATATAGTCTGTGGATGTAAAATATGAATTATGTAGTGTGTGGATTTAAATTATAAATGATGTAGTTTGTGGATATAAATCATAAATTATGTAGAATGTAGATTTAAATAATAAATTATGTTGAATGTAGATTTGTACAGAACATATTATTTACTTTGTAGATACGACATATCAGAAATGTATGAATAAATGCACTTCAGTAATAGTCATTTGATATTGTTAGTGATATTATTACAGGTATAAAATGTATACAAACTAGTGTAATTAAAGCAGAATATGTGAAAAGTTGAATATTTCTTTAAAAGCTTAATATTGGAAGTTTCTGGTAAGTTGGCTTGTGAACCAATATGGTGCGCATTGCTCGACTGGCAACTTACCAGACACGCATTATGTCAAGTTTTTAAAGAACACTTTCCACATATTTTTTATTGTATGCATTAGGTTTATTATATTTTGCAAGCAGCTTTACAAAGTGTTCATAAATTTAATTGATAATGAATGTAGCTGTTATGTGATCGAATGAAATTTTGCTCACGTTTATTTTGAGAATAAATTAGTATGTCAGTTGCTTTCTGGTAAATGTATTATTTGTGCAGATGTATTTAGTTATTTTTTCATTATGTCATCGGATGAACATTTAGATCAGTGAATTTTTTATCTGTCAATTTGTAATTTATAATGATTTAGTGAATTTTATTTGACAATCTGTGATTTATATTAATTTAATGAATTGTACTTGACAATTTATAATTTGTATTAATTTAATGAACTTTATATATCAACTTGTAATTTGTATTAATTTAATGAATTTTATTTTACAATTGTAATTCTTATTGATTTTAATGAATTTTATTTGGCAATCAGTCATCTATATTAATTTAACGAATTTTATTTAACAATTTGTAATTTATATTGATTTAATGAATTTTATTTATCAACTTCTAATTCATATCAATTTAATAAATTTTATTTTAGAATTTGTAATTCCAGTTGATTTGATAGAATTTTTTTTATAATTTGTGATTCGTATTAATTTAATGAATTTTATTTGACAATTTATAATCTATTTTAATTTAGCGAATTTTATTTTTCAACTTGTGATTTGTACTGATTTAATAAATTTGATTTTACAATGTGTGATTCCTATTAATTCAATGAATTTTATTTGACAACTTCCTGCAATAATACTTGGAAAAGTATATCAGTTGCTTCCTAATAAATGTGTCATTTCTAAACAAGTATATAATTATTTTTTTATTACGTCATCATATTGACATTTGATATGAACGATACTGTAATCTTTACCTAAACGTAATAGCTAGAAGTGTTGTTAACATTGCCTTCCAATATTACATATTGTTAACATTGCTTGTCGAATTATCATTTCATGATCTCATCAGGTGGCGATTTACAATCAGTAAATTTTGTGTAACGATATATAATTTTGTATCGATTTACTGAATTCTATTTAACAATTATATATATTGTAATATTGCAACAGTATGTAGTTTGGATTGCTGAAGCATTTATAAAAAATATCTGAATATCTGAAAAATATTCTCTTTTGATATAGTAATGATTTTCTGAAATCTCCATGCATTATACTGTAGGAATGACTAGTAAAAATCCGTATAAAGGTGGCAATATAACGAGAGTTCATTCTATTGCAACGAATCTAAAATACCTAATCAAATATATTTATTTCAATTTACTAATTCTGAGCAATCAGAAAAATTAAACGACAAAGACTTAACGCGCCATAAAAAAAATTAATATAAATACTGCAATCATATTTTAAAATTTTTCCCTCAAACACAACCCTGAACTCTAAAATCACACGATCACCATCATCGAATCTTCAGAGCGTAATTAGTAACGGCAAGGCATAGGAGCAATAAAACATCGCAATTAACTGCAAGAAAAAATTGAACCTCGCCTGTAAATGATAACGAGGAAAATTAACACGACTCAAGAGTAATGAGTCTACGATAGATTTCAATCTCGATTCACGTTCGTATCGCTTGATTAACAGGCAAGGATTCATCTTTAATTAATCACCTCTTTTTCTCGCGCAAGACACGATCTTCCTCGGATAGATACCTTTTCGTTGTCTCTATCTTCATCGCACTTGAACTTTCGTTGAAATAATCGGTCGGGAAGTCTTGACTTTCCCTTTAAAGTCGAAGGTGTGTAATCTGACGGTGATTACGAGTCTCCTGGAAACAATGGAAGAGAGGTTGGCCCATCTCCAGCGAGAATCGTTATCATGTTGCGGCTTTCTTCACCTATTCGTGCCTTCGAGCGTTTGATAATTGATCCTTTCGATTGCTTTTTCTTCTTCTTGCTTTTTAATTGTGATGGTGCTCTTTAAATTACTGAGAGAACCACCCAATTAGTGAAGACGCTGAGTAAAATTTTTGAAATGCAGTGGTTCTTTAATTTCTTGATGTTGAAATATTTTAA